ATCAATGCTATATCACGTATAAAACTTGTTTTCATTTCTTCTTGTTGCTTTCTTAGGTAACAACTAAAAATTATTTATGAAAGCCTTCATATGTATTTTTCTTAAATGATAACAGATAAAATTTCTTTAGTGAGGTCAATAATAATACTTAACAGAAGTGTTGTTTGCTTACATTATCCATATGAAAAAAAATTTTAAATAAATCTCTATCATTAGCCAAAACATTAATCCATTTGATTGAACTGGAGTGGAGATATTTGAATTTTTTATCGTAGTGCTATTGATGGGACACCCTGTAAACGATTATAAGTACTAATGAAATTGAAACTTAATTTTCTCTAAATAGTGCAATCGAAGATATATGACACATAATGGTGCATATAGAAAAATCTAGCATTAAGTGAGTGCGATTGAACCGGTGGAATTCAAAAACTGAAATACATAAATATTTTCAAAGTGATGTAATAAATAATTCTAAATCAAGTACTTATCTTATATTCTAATAATACCAGAACTTGAATACAACAATAAATATCAATTACTCTATTCCCTAGACTGAAAGGATAGGGTCTAGAAACCGAAATTCACCTGTGTCTGTCTGTGTGTCTGTCTGTAACACCTGGTACAAATGATCATTTTCATGGCACAAAGTACCATAGTCGTGGTACAAATGAGCATTTTCATGGTATAATGTACCATAGTCATGGTACAAGTGAGCATTTTCATGGTACAAAAGTATCACTTTGGTGGTACAGGCGAGTATAGTAGTTATGGATGTGAGAATTTTGATTATAGAAAGGTCTATATTTCAGAGTTCAAAGAACTAAGCTAGATTCCCACAGAAATCAAAGTATTTGTGAGGGTGTGGATGTGGGTGTGGGTGTGAGTGACAAGAAGACCAACAACCACACCCACACCCTTTTTATGGGAGCCTTCTAATTGGGGGACCCTTCTATTCAAGATCTTCAGCCTACATTGATAAGTAGATTTAGAAATCTTGATTGAAGCTTTATTTTTTCATTTTCTCTGTTCAAATCACAAGGATAAATTAAAAAATAGTTGAAAATCAAAACATAAATTTACATCAAATATGAAAGTATACTAATTACTTTTTTCCATATTTCAGACAACTTTAGTTGTTTACCACCAGTTTTTAGTAGCATTCGTGTGTGTTGCACGTTCGCTAAGATCGCATCCTTCACAATACGGTGTTCCTTATAGACGTCGCCATTGTCCGATTGTCTTTCGAATGCTTGATTAGGATCATAGATATAGCCAGGTAATGTTCGGAGCGTCACAGTTGAATGATCAGACCATATGTATCCTATATGGCTGTGGGTGTGGGTGTGAGTGACAAGAAGACCAACAACCACACCCACACCCTTACAGAGACAGTCGATATATGAATTAATCAAATAAAAACTGAATAGATATCGAATAGCATAACAATCAAATTTAACTTCAGTAAACAAAACTACAAATAAACACAATCATTTACAAGATCCTTATTTTTTTTTTGAGAATATTTTCTAATGATTGATTATCAAAAGCTAATATTGATTTACTTATAACTGACGTTTAGGCAAGGTGTCTTTTGAACACCAAACAAAAGAAAAACAGCAAATAAAATCACTTTTATGAAAAAATCAGACCAGATATAAAATAGATTGACCACATACTCATTAGAAAATGACAATAATTTCATTATAGTTAGGTTTGCCTATCATACAACCGAACATAAATGGAATTAGGATGAATAAGTGCACAAAATTATAGTTCTTGATAAAATTCTTGGGAGATTTCTTTTCCTGCACACAAAGCCTATTCTTGTGTAAAAAATTCATATGGTTTTTGTATTTTTACATATATAAAAATTCTGAAAGTTGCGTGGGAAATCGATATCTTTTTAGTGTAGAAGATTTTTCATTAGAACATAAAAAAACAGCTTGTTATGATTGTCAATATTTGCTGATTCATCGTCATTTCACCTGAATATTGACTTTGTGTTCTTTTTCTTGTAGGTTGGAAAAAAACCCACTGCTGATAGTCAACCAACTGCACTGTTCTCCATTATATTATTGAATTTTTCCCGCGAAAAGAAAGAGACTATCCAAGTGTCTTTTGTGCATATATATCGGCTTTCCGCGAAAACTGTAAAGAAAAGGCATATGCATCAAAGAGAATGGGTGAGGATGACGATGGGTGTGGGTGAGATGAGGTTGGGTGACTTAAACACGTTAGTAGCAGACTACTTATATATAGAACTCGATGAAATTTATATTTGGAAGAGGAGAATTAAGGTTAATGACGTGTTATGTTTTGGACGTATATAGTGTCCGATAATAAATGGGGGGCATCTGTGTGTTTATTTCATAGTTCATCGAGAGTGGTGTAGAGAGATTTGTCAGTTTTTGGATATAATTGATAACGAAAAATTGGTGACGAGCTTTGTATGTAGTTTGTTACTTTTTAAACTGTTAAATTGTAGACTAGAAACGGCCTTAAGGGCACCCTGTATTTTCAACTTTTCTCTTTTTCTTGCAGTGTTACAAATTTTTCTGAGAAGCTTCTCCATTTACTTTTCTAAATAATCTTATTTTAGTTTTGTAGAGGAATTTTAATAGTAATTGTTTAACCTTCGGTATCATTCAAAGAAAAAAACACAAAACTACTTTGAATAATGTCATTGTCAAATTTTTTGAAATCATTTTAGTTCTCTAGTAATTTCTATTTTTCCTGTACGTATTCATATCATTGACTTCTAGGAAACGATAGAAATATGATTTGCATAGTAACTCGAACAATGGCAAGAAAATTTTCAAAAGCTACGCTCTTAAATGACTATTGAAGAATCCAATGCTCTATTCGAACTTATTTATTGTCAGAAAGAAACAAAGAGACAAATATGTTATGCATTAACTGTGGATATTTCTTTTTTATTGTGTTAACATGTACACCGAAAAAAGTACTCTCAAATACATTAAATATCTATCTCTCTCTATCTTAATATGTTGATATACAGACTAATAAAAAGAAGCGAATATGTAAAAAGCGAGATATCTATTTTTCTAGCCAAAAAAATAGAAATGAATATATAAAATATTAATTGATTGTCTCAGTTTGAATACATAATCTTCCCCAATGAAAAAAAAGAGATATGTATAAGTCTATTTATATATCTCTCTGTCCTAGTCCATTCACTTGCACAACAAAACTGAGAAGTGCATAGACATAAGATTTACTCTCTGTCTTTATATTTTAGCACATTAATGTGTAAATCGAAAAACAAATGAATATGTAATCGACTAAGCTTCTATCTTTTTAGTTTAACCGATTAACTTGCACAACAAAGAAAAAAAGCAGACTGGCATATAAGACACTAGCCATCCATGTCTCTGTCATACCGCATCTATGTGTTAATCATTAAAAAAAGTAATGAAGGGTGTGGGTGGGTGTGGGGTGTGTGTGTTATTCTTCTCTTCAATCGCACCCACACCCACACCCACACCCCACCCACTTCGCACAAATCGATTTCTAAAACTTATTTAGTCTTTTTCTCAAAAAGAGTTTTTTCGAGCATGCCGTTCACGCGGGCAGGCTTTTCTTCATAACGACTCGATATGGAAGTGATAATTTTTTTTTATTATATAGTAGACAGGTAGGGCTAGGTCGTCACAGAGTTGGATTTTTGAATTTCTCTTTTACTGAAATAAAAACCGTAAATCTTTCGTTTTGATTAGTGATTTTTTTTGTGGCCATGAATTCAAGAATTTTTGAAAAAAGGATTTTTAAAAAACAATGAAAGAAAAATTCAAAAATCGGGTCCTGTCACGACCTAGCCCTAAGGGCACTCTACAACCTAAAAACCGCCCAGGCATGTTAGCTTGTATTCTTATTGAGAAAATCTTGCCCGCGTACAAGGTACTTTTGACCAATAAATTGACTATAACGCGTTAGTTTATTGGGGTTTTAGGGGAGATATTTCGTTCATAATCTATCCTAGCCTAGACTAATATTATCCCAAAGTTTGGTTGAAATTGGACGAAAAATAGCAAAGTTGGTTTCTGAGGAGGCCTTAAGCGAATTAATATCAAATGCACTACGTGTGGCGACCTCTTAAAAAATTAAATAGGCCGAAGTTTTGATAAACACTAGTCGATAGAGAAAATTTTTCTCTATCGAACTGTGTTTTTAATTTTTTTCAGAAAAAATGTTTATATGGAAAAATAATCAATACAACCTGATCAATCAAAACGCAATCAATTATAGTGACTTTTTCTTGGAAACGGCTCTTGTACCGAAAAAATTGAGTATATCAAATAAACTGTCTCCTATCCAGCTACGATTTGATATTAAGAAGACCCTTTGAAATAGTATCTGGAGAATTTAAGAAATTAGCGCCACTAAGTGCACTACTATGTTGGTGATTTGATGATAAATCGATGATTCATCTCGATTTGTCGGTCGACTATTTCCATGACTTTTGTTCTGTCATCGATTGCAATGGAAAAGAATGTTGCTTGAATTTTTTTATTCGGCAACAATGATGACTGAGATATAGAGAGCGGTCTAACAATGGTCACTTTGTCTGCTTGTCGACGAGTTAATCAATATCGTCATTGAGTGCATATACGACGTATATGTTGTCATTATCATACTCGGCAGCAAGTAAAATGTTTATCAATACCCAACTGGAAGATTTGTCGGACGAGATATTTTTCGAAATATTAGATTATTTACATGCAAGTGACATCTTTTATGCATTTGCTTCTCTTAATTGCCGTATTTCATCGATTCTGAATTCAATTCGTCTCCATGTACTTATTGAATTTAGTTGTTGCCGTCGTCAAGTTGAATTTTTATCTTCTCATCTGGAATTTCATTCTGATCAAGTTGTTTCACTGCAAGTGTATGACAAAATTCGTGATCAAGCAAACGTCATTGCATATCTTTTTCATCGACATCATTTTATCAATCTTCATTCTTGCACATTTTTTACAATGATTTCATCACCCAAACTGAAAATTATTTTTGAACAATTGAAAAAATTGACTAAGATTGTTTTGTTTCGTCTAGTTCAATCTAATAATGTTGAAGAAGACAAACTTGGTATATATGCAGCACAAGAATTTAGCCAATGGATTTTAACTGATCCACCATCGACACTTCGCTCAGCTGATCTGTATTTTTACTATGATCATTCTCTGATAGGCACAGGATTGATTACTACAACAAATCTTACGCATCTACGAATGATCTTTTATGGTACATCCGATAGCATATCAATTTATTCTCTCATTCCTATATTTCGTATGCATGGTGCACTACGATATCTCTGGGTGGCAATCAAAACAACAGAGCTACTAGATACAGATAATTCCTATATAAAGTTAGTCTATATGTTAATCTGTAAATGGTTGAAATCCATTAGTTTACTTGAGATAAAATATATTTTCTTTTTTTTTTTGTCTGTTAAGTGTGCCAAGTCTTCCACCTATTGACGAAACTAGCCTTCCCATATCATCATCATTAAAATCATTCGATTTACAAATAGTGATGACTCGATGTGACATTCGTTCAATTGGTCTTATTCTTCGTTGTATGCCTAATCTTCATCGATTTGTTTTTACACTCATTGTTGACTTTAATATTTCACCATTTATTATGGATTTGACCAATGGAAAAAATTGGCAAGAGACTTTGACAACCTATGTACCTTATTTGACTAAATTCGATTTTTATATATCGTTCATAACAAGTGGAATGGCAATAGATTTAAATGAAATTCTTAATTCGTTCAGATGTTTTCTCAAGCTATATTATCAATGGCAAATTGGGATTAATCGATGGAAAGTTAGTCCATACCATCCATGTAAGTGAAACAAACTTTTATTTCTACATATAGTTTAATTCTATATAATATAAAATTGACGAAATATTCCATTGGCTTTAAAAAAATTTATTTTTTCATATCATGAGCATTATTTCTAATTAAAAAAACAGTACCCTGACAAGATAGATATATTTTAACATTGTCAAATTTTTTAAATCCTACTATATTCTTTTGATAAAAGCTATTTATCAACGACGAAGATTAAAAAGCTAGTAGATGTTCAAAATTCTTGTGTTCTTTTAAAGATCTGATGTCGACTACTATAGAAAGTAAATCGTTAAACAATTCTATTTGTAAATTCTTGTCATTTTTTGAAATTCTTTTTTTTTGCAGGAAAAAATTTCTTCGACAATCAACTTTTGATGGTTACTTTACCTTACACACTTTTTTATGAAAGAAAATAAGCGAATGTATGATTCAGAGCAGAGACATAGATATTTCTACAAAGCATCGTACGACTAAATAAAAAAAATTCTGTAACGTTTAAAAAAAATGACATCAGTTCAAATCGTCCAATACATTTTTATAGAATATTATATTCTATCAACTAGTAAAAGTTCATTGAAATTGAATGGATTTTTAAACAGATTCTTTTGTTTTGAGATTGAAAGAAAACAATGTGGAAAGTTTTCAGACTTCATATTTTTTGTAAAGTTCTTTTTTTCATAGATAAGAAGGATTTGGTTTTGAAAAATGCAGATGATCGATCGAGCTTAAAAGAATGATGTTTCCGTAAATTTATACCATATGAGTAATCTAATAATTATGAATAAATTCTACCATTTCAACCAAAAATTTGTTGAAAAGTCAGTTATTTTTCTCCAACTTCAAAGGTTTCATCGTTATTTTTGGTGGTAATCCCATCAAAAGATCTTATTTTTATTTGTTTGTATTGCGGAATTTATCTCTAAAAGCGTTAAACAATTCTTAAAATGACAAAACAAGTTCTAGACATGAATATTTCTTAAATTCTTATTAATAATAATGGTCATTTTAGTTGAACATATCAATTTGCGTACACTTAATTATAATCATTTGACAGTACGACGTGAAGCTCGTATACGGACAATTACAATTAGTGATACATTCGATATGCGATCAACAAACACATCAAATCTTCATGATCATTATTTTCATTCTAATCACCATGAGATGCGGTTTTTTATGACAAAAAAGACAACGACACCAATTATTCATTCTTCAAATATTCCTCCGTTTCAAAATGTCAAACACCTCATATTCTATTTAACATTTCCGAAACCAGCGATTTTATTGTTCTTGGAGAATACCCTAACATGGCTAACACGAAGTAAGTTTACTTAATTCTTTTATTCAATTCTATATACTTGATTATTCAATAAACTACAAACATCTATTTTTCTCTTCTCTAGTTTTAATGCCGTTTTATAAAAATGACGATGATTCACAACAATGTCTTGATAATCTTTCAAGTCTTATTGATTTATCTACAGTCGATGCTGTGGAATTTGCACCAGACAAAATTTTAACACGATTACATGCTGTTATACATGTTTTACTGTAAGTTCTATCAACTGAATAAATATCAAGATTTATTATAGTTTTTCTAGAAACAAAACTATTTTATGTACCTTATAAGAATGTTTATTTAGAATAAAACCATAGCCTAACAAATAACTTTATGAGTATCAGAACGATTCTTGCGAGATGCATGTAATATAAGCTTTTCTAAATTCATTTTCTTACAAAAGATCATTGAAAATCGTGTGAAGTAATTGAACTTCTATTACATGTCATATCAAGGTTCGCAATCTTTTAGCATAAATTTCAAATTAAAAGTCTTCAAAGTGAACTTGCAGTAGCAATAAATTTTTCAAGAGCTAAGCTTTTCTAATGTATAAAAGTCTTTTGATGTACATATCATTGAAAAAAATAAAATCTTCTTAGAAATTGTAAGATTAACTTCATCTGAATATATTCACAAATGAACGATGATGAGACTTTGGGAAAAAGTCAGAGTTTTTAAAAAAAGCTGTTAGCACAATCCCTGCGGAATTAAAATGTGAAACACGATAAAGCTGTTTTTAACTTCATTCACGAATAAGCATCATCAATAAAATAATTGTTTTTTTTTTAATTTCAGTGGTTCACTATTAGAAAGTTTTTCACCACTTCGCAAAATACAAAGGAGAAGTTTATTAAAGCTATTCTTTCCCTCTATTGATAAATCTCTCAGTTGAATGACTTTGATGGTCAGTCAACCACCAGAGCGTCACTGTCGTGATCTGTGATGGTCTTTACAGTCTGTATGTCACGGTCTGTGATGACCTTTAGAGCTTGTCTGTTACAGTCTGTGATCGACACGAGTCCTGTCTATCACTGTCTGTGACGGTCTCTAGAGCATGTATGTCACGGTCTGTGATACTTCCTGGAAACGGTCTGTGATGAGTCTAAGCCCTGTGTCACGGTCTGTGATGGTCTCCGGAGCCTGTCTGTGATGGGTCGGAGCCCTATCTGTCACGGTTTGTGATGGGTCTGGAACATATCTGTCACGGTCTATGATGGGGAGGTGCAATTTTCTACCCTATATACTTCAACAGTCCTTTCAGATCGTGTTTCACAAAAAGCTCATATCTAATATTATGACATTGTACCAGAAACAAAACTGCAATTTCTAATAAAGTAAAACACTGAAGTATCAAGAAAAACGATCAGTTACATTTAATAAAAGAGCAACTGATTGTCCCCTATTGAGCTACTTCAACTGCCTCAATATTGCTAGGTTAGTAACAAAACTTAAGGCAAACAGTTGTGTATATATATTAAACAATTCTTCTTCTCAATATTTGTGTGTTTATATTTAAACAAAGATTTTTATTTTTGAGACGCTAAAATAATCGTTCAATCCTACTAATCCTGTTACTTTGTAATAGAAATAAATTTTTGTACTTGTGCACTACGAATTCTATAGTTATAATTTTCAAGTTAAAATTAAATGAGATACATTTGAAATGTCGATACTATTAAGCTATTCTTGTTTAAAGTTGATAGATTCTATGGATGTTATAAGTTCATGATATTCCAAAATTCATACATAAGTTTTGTTTCAAGTTTTCGAGTTCAACATTGTTTATATAAGATTTTACTGTCCTTAACATAGTAAAGATTATGCTACATGACTTGAATTGCTTTCAAATTGTGTATATCCTTATCTAAACTATCACTTAGAAAATCTTAGTAAAAATTTGTACTTATTTTTACTAAGATTTTAGTCTAATTTAAACTTTCAGACGACATATAGGACAACTTTAAACGTAGGACCTCTTACGATAAATGGCACATCAAACTGACATTGATTAATTAGAGTAATGTCTTCAAAATATTATAAGCTGATTTCATTGATTTTGAACGAGTGTATAGTGCATCTTATGTTTCTAAATACAGGTTGTTCATGTGAACATAAACTCTTTTAATATACGATAGTTGAGTTTGCCAAGCAAAAACTATAGCGAATTCGTTTATCATCTTATAGATCTCAGCTTTTCAATTCCAAATCGATTGAAACGTTTAATGTTGAATTACTAGAGACAACGCTTAACTTGCTAGATTTTTCAGTTACAGCACAGAGCTTGTCTAATATACACTACAAAATACTTTTATCTTCTCTTTCTTTTAGGGCATGTCCAAATGTCAAAAAACTTGCTATGAGTAGTTCATTATTGTTCTTGCCCATAATATTCGACAATCCAACACTCAGTGAAACTTTTAAACAACTGAATGTGCTTGACCTAGTCGCAGATGGTCTGTATTTTCCTCTAAAATATGCATCGAAATTTGTCCAACGTTTTCCATCTTTGACTATTATAGAGATCGAAGTCTATTCAATTGATGATTCAGTGCCGATTATCGATATTTTTCTAGCAAGTCTTGCAAAATTACGATTTCTCAAAATACACTTCAAGTATGATTCTCTATTAGATGATCCATGTTCTCGTAACTATGTCATCGATAAACGACGTCAATCATTTGGTTTAAACAAAAATGATGAATATAAAGTAATTGTAAAAATTGAAGATCATCAACTCTATATCTGGCTTTCATAATAATTAATCTGTACATTTCTTTTCACATTGTTTTGTTAATAATAAAATGATAAAAATTTGAAAATAACTACAAAAATGTCCGACGTCAGCAGTGTTGCCATCTCTTCTGCTTTTAGCAAAAAAGTCTGCTTTTCAGAGGTTTTTCTGCTTTTTCAGATATCTTATCTATTA